GCAGCAAGCAAGCCTCCCTGCTCGCTTCAGTGCCTGGCTGCCGGCCGCCATCTTGGCTGACAGTTAATTTGCATATACTCACTGATTAGCCAATGAAAAGGGTAGCGGTCGTACGCTAATTACCATGTTTCTCTTTTATTAGTGTAGATTATCCTTTTAATGCCCATGAGATCTATAGTGATGACCCTTTTTTTCATTTCTGATATTGGTAATTTGTGTCTTCTCTTTTCCTTAGTTTGCCTGAAGGCTTGTTGAGTTTATCTCTTCCAAAAAACTGACTTTATGGATCATTAGTTTTCTCTATTGGTTTCTCATTTCAATTTCATTGATTTCTGCTCTAACCTTTATTATTTGTTTTCTCTATTTACTTTGGACTTAATTTGCTTTTTTTTTTTCTAGTTTCCCAGGGTGGAAGTTTAGATTATTGACTTCAGATCTTTCTTCTTCCAACATATGCATATTTATTCTGGTCTCCTATGGCCTTCATGTTTGCTTCCTGGTTGCTATGCAGAGCTTCACACAGCTGTCTGGGGTAACATTCCACATGTCATAGCTGCAGCGGAATCCTTCTAGGTGCCTGGGGAAGTTTGCCTGGGTGGCTAAGTGCTCTTCACCAGCCCTTGCACTTCGGGCACATGGCAATTGGGTCCACACAGATAGCTCTGTGGGTTCCAAGTTCTCTGGGCAGGAGCCAGACTCAGGTTTGGGTAAATATTCATGAGAGTGAAGTGAACTGGCCTTTTTTTTTTTTTTTTAAATGCGGTGAATTTATGACTTACCTCTTTTCTGTGCCTTTGTTTAAGTGTGCCTTTATATTAGCCAGGCCATATATTCCAAAGCACTGATCAGTGGTCCTCAGTTTGGGTAGCAAGTGTGAATCATGGATGTAGCATAAAATACATCAGTGCCTGGGCCCCACCTCCAGTTCCTGAAACAGTCGGTCTGGGTATGGAGTTAGCAAAGCTCCTTGGGTGATTTTGACATGAGCCCAGGTTGAGACCACTGTCTCAGACACTTCCTGTCATAATCCTCCTTAAACCACCCTCATTGCCCCAGACTTACATGAGTGTTAATTGTTAAGAAGTGGGAATAAGAAGTCAATGTCAAGGCAACATGCTGACAACACTAGTTTCAAGCTGAGCTCCTGAGCGCTCCTGGCTTCCAAGGAAGAGTCTGCCCATGTCACTCAGGTGGTCACTCTGGGCGGGGAATTCTAGGAGCTCCAGGAGGACTGAACCTCAATGGAAAGATGCCAGAAGTCCTACAGAAAGGTCCCTTTCTGAATGTGTCCATGAGATTACATCTCTACTGAGGCTAATGCCCAAGAGTCAGGTGACCCTGTGGCCTGGGAGGTCTCTGCCTCTGGTGCTTACAGAGATGGGTGCGGAGGGGCCCGCCTCAGAATTGGATCCCAGGAGATGAAAACATACTAATTTAAAGTTCCATTGGCCGCTAATTGGTAGAGCTCGGAGCAGACGGCCTGGACAGGGGTGTTTGATGTGCACACCTGGAGCATAGATTTGGGGCGGAAGTGAGATGGGGGCTGAAAGCCAGAGAGCAATGCCCCGTTGGTGAGATGATGAAGGGGAGACAGTGGCTACCTAGGGAAGGGGAGAGATTGAGAACTTGGGGAAAGGAGAGGGGTGAGAGACAGCAGGTTGCCATCAGGAAGGGGTGGGCTCCCAGCAATAAGGTGGAGAGACAGGTTGGGCACCCAGGCCTCCCAGCCCCACCACGAGGGCCCTCTAAGGGCCTGGAGGGTGAATGGGGTAGCCAGGTACCCGCTCCCCACCCTATCTCCAACTCCCTCTCAGAGGAGCAGCCCCAGCGGGCTGTGTCCAGAGTATATATTGAGAGATTGCTCTTGGCCAGGCCTCATACGGCCTTCTTCATGTGTGGTCTGTACCTGGAAGTGCCAGCTCAGTGTGTGTGTGTGTGTGGGGGGGGGGGGGTGAGGGGTTGGGCCCAGGGACTGCCATGCAAAGGCCTGCAGGTGGGAGGGGCATGGAAGCCTGCAGACCTCAGTGAGCGGTGCAGACAGTTAGACAGAGGTTTCTGTGATGGATCTATGAGGGCAGGAGGGGGCAGGAAGAGAAGGCTGGCAAGGGGCAGGGGAGCTCACCATGGCGCCTATTTGCCAAAGGTGAGGGGAAGCCATGGCTCAGTCCCGGAGGGGTGGACAGATGAGCAGACTGAATAGACTGGCCAGCAACAGTGACCAGGGACCTTGCAGACCATCTCTGAGAGGGAGGAAATGACCCTCCAGTTCAGATGGTCTGGCTGACACCAAGCAGGGCCTGTTCTTTCATTTCTGCATGTGGGTGATGCTGACTTCCCTCCGTGCCCTTCACAGATCCGGACGAGGGACAGGATCTTTGACAGCATCAGCCACCTCATCAACCACCACCTGGCGAACAGGCTGCCCATCGTCTCCGCCGGGAGCGAGCTCTGCCTCCAGCAGCCGGTGGAGAGGAACCCGTGACCTGCCAGCCGCCTTTCTTGACCCTGCGCCGTGGTCAGGGGCACTCGGTTCTTCCCGGTAGATGGGTGCCCGGCCACAGGAACTCAGGCAGCTGCCTTGGTCCAGAGCCCCAGGAGGAAAGCGTTTGTAAAGTGCAGGTTTTGTAAACGTGTCTGCTTTCTCACGTGCATAGTAAAGGTGTACATACCTATACATCCTGTACAGATGATCCCTCTAAATTTCTATTTTTTAAGACTAAGAAAGAGGTAAGACTAATGTTCTGTGCTGTATGTTTTTAATGAAAAAAGTTTGACTGTAGTTGTCTGGGCAAAATTTAATTCAACTGACCCATTCCCCTGGGCAAGTCCACCAGGAAAGTGCTACGGGAAGTCTACCCAGGAAGCACAACCTGGGGAGTAGACGCACGCAGGAGCGTGGGTAATGGACAGCGTTGTGATAGAGTCAGGCAAGATGCCACCCCAAGAGGTCCAGGCCTGATGGAGAGCAGTGTGGGCGCTGGTCCTGATGGCGCCCTCCTCCAGGCTCCGCTGGGCTGTCTGCCTCACACCTGTGTGCCGGGTCCGGCACCCGGGGCTCCTGTGGTTGCCCTGAGCAGGCGTCACTTCCGCTGTGTCGGGCCACGCTGAGCTCAGGAATGCTGTCCCCCACGACCTCTGTTGTCCAGTTCTTGGGGATGCATTCTGCTGCCAAATACGGCACAAAACAAGCCTCACTAGTGAATATCTTCACTGGCAACTGCTCCCCTTGTTTCATTGAGTAATGACCAAGAGTAAGTGCGGAGGGGCAGTTGGACAAAGCCTTGGATGGATGTCCTTTGGGCCGCCCGGTTGATTCCAGGCTGCTCCGGAGCTGCCGGTGAACGTGCCCCACCCCTCTGTTCAGTGGAGAAGCCACGTGGACGAGCTGTGCCAAAGGCAGTGGGACACGTGCCCACAGTCCTGTCCCGGGGACAGTAGCAGCAGGCGTTCCCCTGGGTCCAGGCCGGCCTGATGCCGGGGACTTCTGAGAATCTGTCTGAGTTTCTGCTCCTGGAGCGACTGGTGGGTAAAGCGACTGGTTGTCTCTATAGCAGGTTTCCCAGTCGCTGCCGGGAGAGGCGTGTGCCCCACGCAGAGCTGAGCGTGGCGCCTTCTGTGGAGGGGAAGCACGCAGTTCGGGCTGGGTTGTCTGGCGTTGGAAGCTGACAGTGTCTATGACGTTAGAATACATCTGGGATGAGACTGCGCGATTGGGGGGGAGGCGGTGTTTTAGAGACAGAGGACTCAGGGTGCACTGGCAGCTCCTTGCGGTGCTGCGAGCCGAGGAGTGTGGGGGGAGGGGAGAACGGGGTCTCCTGAGCGCGCCCACCTCCACAGCAGCGCACACAAGACCCTCCCCACATACCTAGACTTGAATCGTGATAACTTTGGGGCTTCAGGACTGAGGAGCTAAGGAGAGATTTTTAAAATTCCGATAAGCACTAATTTGGCAAAATTCCTAAGTGTGTGAACCCCATTTCAACTTTTGGGGGTTCGTGGCCAGGATGAGAGAGGGGGATATATCTGATGGGCTGAGGATGGGTCGGAGCAGGTCCAAGGGTTCATGTGTAGCCTTCTTTGGAGTTTTTGCTCTTTGAGGGTCCAGTGAATCCAAGCTGACAGTGGCTTCAATCTTCTAGAATGTTCTGCACTGGATTGGAACTAATCTAGGCCATCCTGCGCTCCCTGGCTTCAGGCGCAGTGCTGATGCCCCACTCTGAGTCAGCCAGCAGCCGTGAGGGCTGAGTGGGGCTGCAGGCAGCAGCTGGCCCTGCCCCCTGCCCTGCATGGGGCGGACTGGGGGTGGGGTGAGACTTCCCTGCGCCCATCTCCCGGAGGCCTGCAGCCCGGGGCACACGCGCACGCCTGCGCTCCGTGAGAAGCGTGTGCCTCCTCTGTGTGGTGTGACACAGACACAGACAGAATGGCTTTTCTTTCTTCGGCCTCCGGCCCCGCCTGCGCTCGTTCCTCTTGGGGACCTGCAGTCAGAGCGGCTCTCTGCTCTGAAGTCAGTGCTGAGCTCAGTGATGAGCCCTATACATATGATGTGTTTTTGCATGAGGATCAATTTAGAAAATGAAAAGTATTTGGGGATCAAATTTTGTTTCAATATGAATTCAAAATACGCATTCTAAAGCTCAGGTCCCACGACCACGTACAGTGGAACAGCCGCGCGGCTGGCGGGGCCGAGGTCTCCCGCCTGCGCTCCCTCCACTGTGAAGCCGGCGGAGCTCACAGGAGTCATCTCGCCTCCCCCTTCGGCACGTGGTGGGCATAGCTGTGAGCCTCACTCAGGCTCCTCTTGCTGAAGGCCCCGCGCTGTGGGGCGGCAGGCTTTGTTAAGTGTTGATTTCCTAACCACTGTAACTTGGCAACTGGATTCCCCCCCCCCCCCCCCCCCCACTTAGCTGCGCATGGAGCTCAGGGTTGGAGGCAGATGCCATGGGGTCTCCTGGCTGCCCAGATGGCGCCCCTCCTCCAGCAGTTTCTCCCGCGGTGTCCCTGCCTGGGTGGGGCAGGCAGAGCAGCTCTAGGCGTGGCTCCAGGGCCCCTGCCGCCCGGGGCACATGCTGTGGCCACACAGAGCCACTCGG